GTTGGTCTGTTCTTTTCTCGCCCAGATTTTGAAAACTCCAACCCAGGCTCGAGTTGCAGGAGCCCGGGGTTTGGAATAGCCCCTGGTGGCTCCGGTTTCGGCAGACTCGAGCGCCTTGGGAGGGCCCGAAGCGCCGGGGAAGGCAGCTGAGTCGCGCGCCCCTCTCCACCGGAGCCTCCAGACTGGCCTCTGCCCCGGGCCCAGGCGTCTCCCCGGCCCGGGAACTGAGCCTGCCGGCAACCCATGGGCACCCAGTGAACCGGCCGAGGGAGAAGGAGAGGCCGACCCCCCGTTGCGAACGCCGGGGGTGGGGGGGGAACGGACCTAGCACTTTCCCCGGGCCTCCCTCCCAGGATCCCGAGGAGACTACTGGGGGCGGGCGTCGCGCAAGGCACTTACCCGGGTGCGGGTGGAGGTTGAGGCCGGCCATGTACTTCCCGGGCGGCAGCGCGCCAGGCAAGCCTGAAGCGGGCAAGCGTCCGGCCGTGGCGGCGCCCACGCGGTGACTGTCCATGGCCAGGCCGGACAGCAGCGGCGGCGGGGGGCCGTGCACAGACCGCGGGGGCCCGAAGTCTCGGCCATCCATCCTCCGCGGGAGTGCCGCGGCCAGCCCCCCACCCGGCCCGCGGGCCTAGTTCAGTGGGACCTAAAAGTTCGGCCTCGACGTAGTCCCAGAGTCCTCGGGCGGCGGGGGCTCCGCGGCGTGCATGGCGGCGGCGGCCAGCGGGTCTTGCGCTCGGCGGCGGGCCTGCGGCCCGAGGCGCACAGACGGCCGGTGGTGGGGCCCCTCCGGGCGGCCAGGCGGAGCTGCGCGAGGCGGCGCACAAGGCGTCTTGGCGGGGAGAGGAGACGGGCCGCGGAAGAAACAGAAGGGGGAAAAAGAAAAAGGAGGGGAAAAAAGAAACAAGTTCAGAAAGTCGTCTATGCCGTTCGGGGTCGGGGGCTGCCGATGTGGTGGCCAGAAATGAAATCGGGAGTAGCCCCTTTTCCATAAAAAGTTAAATTCCATGTTCCTTCCTTCGGCGGCATCGGGCTCACGGGCAACGGCTCAAAAGGTGGCCGGTGGCGCGCTACGCCCCAGCCCAGACTCTGCCTCGGCAGCTCACGGGTGCTCCCGAAACTGGGGAAGGCCCCTCGGCCGCGCCCCGAGCGCGTCAATACAAACCTCCGAAGTGTGTTGGATTCCTGGGCGTCACATGCTCCGGGGTTTCAAACAGTGAAACCTTTCCATGAGCAGTTCGAAATGTCTCCCTAAACACTATGTAACTATCTTATCTGGAAAGTTTAATACTTAACCTTTGGGAGCCCTTGTCTCCCTTTTCTGAGTTTGGTTCCCCTGAGCTCGCCCCGAGCCTCGGAATTAGTAGTTTTTTCATGAAAGAGGGTGCTAAGCGGGTTTATTATTTTTAAAGAGACTCATCGCCCCCTCTTGCCATCCCCCTCGGGCCACTGTGAGTCGCAGAGCCTAAGTCCGAAGAGCCGAGACGTGGCATTCTCGCCCGAGGACTGGAAAGAATCCTTCAAAACAAGCTTTGGTTTCATTTTCCAGCGCCCTGGCCTGGGAATCCTGCGGCCCGAGACGTGGCCTGGAGCGGGGAATTTGGGGGGCGTCAGAGGGGAAGGGAGAGACTCAAGGGTCTCGCTCCTACCGTAGCTTGCCCCCAACCCCAAAAATAACCTACAAAGAAAACCTTCGCGTCGTGGGCCGACCGAGGGGCGCCTCCCTCAGCGTTGGGCAAATCCCCCTGTAGTTCCAGTATAAAGCTGTTTATTTTAAAGATTTGCCGATTCCCGTGGGGGCGGGAGGCGGTCTGGGAGCCAACCCTGCCCTCGCTCTCCGTCTGCCCTCAGCAGCTCGGATTCCTGATTCCAAGAGGCCCGGGCGCTCCTAGAGCCACCGGTCAAGCCAAAGCCACCGGCTCCCGGGTGCCCGCCCTGCTCCCCGCGACCGGCGGCCAGGCCCCGGAGCTGCAGACCCTCTCAGCCGCAACCCCCAGGCGTCCTCCAGCCTCCCTCCCCAACTTTGCTAAGGATGCTTATTTTAACCCGGTTTTGGTTACAAACACCCCCTCCCTCCCTCGCTGCCTCCCATCAGGCTCTGGTTACCAGATCCGCGTTTACTTTAGAAAAATCTAAGATCGCCACATCCGAAGATACATGTCAGGCGATGAGCTTTCCGTGATTAAAAAAAAAAAATTCTTTGTGTAGCTTTCTTTTAAAAGCCAGCGCTTCGGGTCATGCCCCAGCGCCCCACTTTGGGGAAGTCGGGGTGAAGCCCCCCGGAACATCCTTGCTCTGGTAGAGAAGCTGGCTCGGTCATCTGCGGGCTCTGCTGCGTTCTCCCTACTTTTCTTCCCCTGTTAAATGCAGTTAAAATGGCTGAATTCCGGCTTTTAATTAAAAACAGCCTATAATCGAAAACGTCTAGGCGTCCCTGGCTCCCCCACCGCCTGCCGGGAACCGAGAAGGGAACCGACGCCCCTCGGCCCGGTTGGGCGGGCTAGAGCAGGGCTGGGGGCTCAGGTGGGCGCCCGGGGCGCAGGGACTTGCCCCCACCCCTCCCGGGGCACCCCACCACGCCGGCCCTGGTCCCCCGATTCTGTCCTCGGGAGCTGGAGAGCTGAGGGTATCCCCGGCGCACCCCGAGGGGGGAGGCGGGGTGGGGGGCCATCTGGAGAAGTTTGGAGACCATCGCGCCCGGCCAGGGGCAGGCGGGTGGCCCGGCGGCGTACCTGGCGCGGCAGGGCTCCCGGCTCCAGGCGACGGCGACTCCGGTGGCGGCCCCGGCTCCCGGCGCGGCTAGGCGCCCGTGCTGCCCGCCATCCCGCGGCCGCTGCTCCCCTTCGCCACCCGCAGCCGCCTCACACTTTTTGCCCGCCTTTCCTTTTTTTGGTAGAAAACCGCTCCCCGGGCCGAGCGCTCGGCGCGCCAACTCCTCCGCCCTCCCGCGGCCGGGCTCCCGCAGCCCCCGGAAAAGCCAGCTTTCCTCCCGCCGAGCTCCCCGCTTTTTAATAAAATCCAGGTAGCGCCGGTTTAAAGAATCCCAAATCTCCATATACAGCCCGGGATTGGAAAAGGTACATTACACAACCCCCCTTTCAAGTTCCTCTCGCTGGATCTAAAAAAAAAAAAAAAAAAAAAAAAGCCGCGGGGGGGCGGGAAAGGGGAGGGTGGGGGAGGGGAACACTCTACGGCGAAGAAACACGCATTGTTCCCGGGTGCCCGCCTCCCCCCCCAGGCCTGCCCCCGGCCGCCACCCATTGGCCGCGCGCGCCGCCAATCACGCGCATGTAAACACCTTGGCCCTCAGCCATCCCTATAAAACCAATTACGGACCAAGGGGCTCCAGCAGTTTCTAGGCTCCCCTCGGTGGGGCTGAATGATCAAAACTGGTGGTGAGAATTTTTCCGGGCCGTTTCTAGGCAGCCCTCCCCCTCCACCAGCTCGGACCCCCCCTTCCTCCTCCTCCTTTTTCCTCCCCCCTCCCCCAGCGTCTGGGCTGAGTGATCAAAATAGAGGAAGATGGTTGTCGCCGCAATCCAGGGCTTTGCAAGGCGCAGTTTAATGGGCCGCCTGTCAGCTTCCTGCTCGCAGGAGGAGGTGACAAGCCGAGCGAGCCGGGAAGAGACAGAGGCCCGGCGGGCTGCACCCCGGGCCCGGGCCCCCGGCTCCCCACCTCCCCTGGAGCGCGCCTTCTACAACGCGCGGTGGAGACGCCAAAACGGACAAGGGCTGCTTTTTCCCTCCTCCCCACACCCCACTTTAAAACAAAGCAGCGATTCATTCCCTCCCCGAACTGCGCGGTTGGGTGGGATGGGCAGGCGAGAAGGCGGTTTTCCTTGCCCCGGTCTGCGGGTTCCTCCCTGAAACGCGGTGTCAGATGGTTACTGATTAATATTTTGGAGAGGCCGCGGCGGCGGGCAGCGGGTGAGTCTCTAATCTCCTAAAAGGGGTTCCTATAGAAACGCGGGCCAGGGCGCACCCCCCGCTCGGCCCCGGCCCGGGCTGCGGCGCTTTGCACCGCGCCCCTCCCCAAAGGCTCTCTTTGCGTGGGCGCTCCCCTCCCTTTCTCCCCCCCCAAAAAAAATCAGAGCAGAAAAAAGGATTAGATCGGCTGAGCGCGAACTGACTCCCTCTCGATTCTGACATTTCAGCCTATTAGCATTTCTCCACGGGGCCTTCTGAAACCTATTAAAGTGTAATATTAAAAACCTCTTGGCTGGGGGCCTCTCTCGCCTTCCATCCGCCGTGCCCCCTCCAGGGAGGGCGAGACCGGGGGAAAAAAAAAATCTGTTGAGCTCAGAGGAAGCAGCAGCCAAGCCCAAAAAGTGCTTGGCTGGCCGCGGCAGCCGGAGGGGGAGGGGAGCCCCAATCCCCCAGACTTTGTACTTTTATTTTGCGCTTTCAGCAAAATCCTTTCTGGGTTGAGTAGCCGGGAGCTGCCCGCGGCAACCTACTTGGCTGCGGGCACGAGGAGTGCGGATGCGGTCGGAGGGGCAGCCCTAGGGGCCCGCTCCCTCCGCAGCCCCGCAGGGACCCGTGCCCGGCTAGGCATTACGTACCCTCAAAAGGAAGCTTGGAGGGGCAGAAATCCTTGGCGATCCTGCCTCAGAGAGCAACCGCGGTGATTAGATTTTAATTAAAACTAGAGAAGCCCGCTCTTTCGCCCTGCGCTGCGGACTCAGCGTTTTCGCATCGTTTATTCTTTTTTTTTTAAATCCATTTTTAAGGCAACTTTTCTGGAGGGGGGAAAAATGAGCTAGTTAGCGCCCATTCGTTCTATTTTCTTTTCGCCACTTTTAGAAAAAGAAGGGGGGTAGGCTTGGAGAGCGAACTGGGGGTGTCTAATTTAATTCCAGTATAAATTTGAGGAAAAAAGTTCAGCCTCTTGAGGGCAGTTTCAAGTTGCCCTTCCTGGAGCCTCCTGCGCTGGTTTCTAGGCTGCCCTCTTTTGGAAGCTGGAGCTCTGCGGGGCGGGGGGGGGGGGGGGGGGAGGAGGGAGAAGGAAAGAAAGCCACGAAAATAGCCGGAGCCGAGGGGAACAAGCGGCGGAGCAGGGCACGCAGGTCTCAGTAGCGGCCGGGGCGGCGGGAGGCTCCCGTTGCAGCCCCGGGACGGCCAGAGCAAAGACGGAGAGGAGAGGGGGGTTAGAGAAAGGAGGTATTGTGTCTATGTGCCTTGGGGGAGGGGGGTGACTGCAGAAAAAGTAAATGCAGTTGAGCTGCACGAGGCTGCTGAAAGCCAAGACTGGGGAAGGGGCCGTGCGTGGGGTCGCACCCCGGGTGGGCGCAGAGTGTCCTCCAGTCTTATCCAGAGGCCTCTGTGGGTTCCTAGTAAACCCTCCCACTCCCGATCCCCCATCGCTCAGTATTCAGACCCCAGACACTGAACCTCCATTCCATTATCCCCTGTTCCGGGATCTGGAATGTTTTTCTTTGTTTTAATAGAGCTCAAGCAAAAAATATGTATGTTGAGAGAGTTGGGGTGGGGAATACAAAGGACTTGCAGGGTGGAAAAAACCAAAAGCCTATTTTTATAAATGTTTAATGTTTTCACTCCTGGATGCTCAAGACGTCGTAATTTTGACGGCAGGGTATGTGTGCCATAAATCATTTAGTTGCTAATAAAAATTCTGCCTGTTTGCCCTGGATTTGCCAAAGGCGTTTGCATTTTCCAAGTGTGCGCCTGGATGGAGTGGCGAACCAAGCCTGCATTTCATTACGGCCGAGGTTCGGGGAAAGCGAGGCCCCCTCCCCCACCCATACCCCGGGTTTTTGTGGGCTGCAGCCCCCTTGCGCTCCCCTCCCTGCACATACCCGCACCCGCGCGAGCCGCTGCGCGGCCCTCCCGCCAGAGCTCGCCCGGGTGCAGGGCCTGGGAACGCGTAGGTGGCGGCGGCGGCTCCCGGTTCCCGGCCGCGCAGCGGGGCTCCCCGGACAGACCCTGCCCGGCAGTGCCGGTTCTCCGAGCTGCAGCTCGGGTGGGGGCGCGAGCCGGCTACGCCGAGGAGCCACCCGCCTCGGACGACCTACGCGCGTCCCGATCTTTGCCCCCTCCCGGCCCGCGAGCCGCTGCCCGGGTGCCCGCAGTCGCTGGGCAAGCAGCGGCCGGGAGCCATCTTTAGGGCGGGGGACTGATCCCAAGCCGAGTGGTGGGCGCAGCCCAGGCTTCTTCCAAGACCCTCGCTATTCGTAGAGGGCATCGGGGACACGCCTGGCTGGGCTTCAGGGTCTGGGGAAAGGAACACCCTCCCCGCTTTGGTGGCCACAGAAACGTAAAAACCAGGCCGAGGCGCCCTGCGCGGAGCGGATAACAACGCGCAGCCCGCAGTCCTCCCGGGTCCCGCCGCCATCTTCCACTCCCTCCCCCCACGTATTTGTGTTTACTCGGCAAGATCCGTAGCCAAAAAGAGTGTGTTGACGCAGTGTGTGTGTGTGTGTTTTGTACTAGCTGGGCGTAAAATCGGCCGAAGGGGGGAACCTCCTTGCAACCCCAAACCTCAGTTCCCAGAGAACCCGCCCAAGCCAGCGCTTTTGTCCGCGGCCATCCTGGGCCGCCAGAAACGAGGCCTTTTGTATATTTCTAGGCCTCCAGCTCCGTGGACGCGGCCTGACTGACAAAATTATTTCGCTTTGTTTTAAAACCCAAGGACAGGCCAACCTTGGATTCAGCTCTCCCTGACTACGCCTTTGTCACTCGCGGGCTCAGTCCCCAGCGCCGCGGTCAATCCTGTCCTATTCAGGGCCGAACACGGCGCTCCCCGGAATCCTGGTGTGGCCGACCGCTTGGACGCGTTCTCCCCCACCCCCTTCCCCAGAAAAGAAACCCGCATCCTTTCCTAGGCGAGGACACCCGAGCCACCTCCTCCCGTCGCCCCGAACGGCCCTTCGCGGTGGGGACCGAAATCCCCGCGCCTCCACCGGCCTCCACCATCCTCTCGGTGAAGGGAGCCCCGGGCATTCGCCGGCCTCGGCTGCCCGCTCGGGAAGCCGCGACGCTGTCTTTTAAGCGCCAGTTTCCAGGTTCCAGGTCCGACAACCAGGGAGCTCCTGGCCCGGGTGCCGCTAAAACCCGGAGAGGCCCCGCCCGGGAAAGCCAGGCTCGCCATCCCCTTGCTGGGACGGGCCCAGTCACGACTCAGCGCCGAGCCGAGGTTCGGCCAGCGCAGCCGAGATGCGTCCCGACCCGCCAGAAAGACCCAGGACGCGGCGCCAGAGCCACGAAAGCCGCAGGGACCAGGGGGCACGGCGGGCAGAGCCTGGACCGAAGTGCCAGGCCCGGCCCTGGCAGATCCCGGCGGCTCTCGGCTCCGCCTCCGGCCCTGGCCTCTTCCCCCGGCCGGGTCGGGTCTTCCACTCTACTGTTTGGCTCTAAGGGAGACACTCTCCGTGCGCAGGGGGCTGGCTGCGGCCATAAATCTCGGCGCAGGGCCCTCCTTCCCGCTGCACGCACGGGTACTCCCGGTCGACCCCGCGTCCCTACCGCACCAGATGCCCCGCTCTCCAGGTCAGGGCCTGGGGGCCCCGAGACTGCGCGGGGAATCCAGCCAGAAGCTTCCCCTTTCACCAGAGAGAGGGAACGGCCCTGTCCACTTGGTGCCACCATCTTCCATCCCCGCGGTCACCGGACCCCGAGGTGGCCTGGGCCTCACCGCATCGCTGCCTAGGGTAGGGGCGCCCGGACGGGGTGCTTACTCCTAGGAAGGCTAGGTGAGGCTGGGATGGGAGCGCGACTACCCACCTGAGCCCAACTCTGGCTCTACCTGTGCCATCGAGGGGCGACATCAGGGTCACAGTGGCTTCTCAGAACTCAGCCTGCCACCCCTCTCTGCAGACCGTGCTTTAATCCTGGGCCATTGTTCTGCCCTCGGAGCCCTCTGAGGGCGCACCATGCGGGGAGGGGGACTTTTTTTGTGTGCACGGAGGACCAAGCAGGGTGTCTGCAGGCGCCGTGCCTGTAGGTAGGGGCTCATCTGGTTCCCCACCCGGTGCCAGCCCATCTTCTCCTCCTTGCCGGGGACACCTCCGGCTTTTCCCCGTCTGGCCCCAGTTCGGCACCCTGGTCGGCCACCCGCTTTGGCGCAAATAGGCAAACCATCGGGAAAGCAGGAATTGGTCCGGCGCTGGTAGCAGCCTGGTAGGCGCGGCATTATTTCTACCCCGGGTGGGGGGAGGGGCGTGGGGGGATACAGGGGTGCAGATCCACACACGGTGTATTTGCAACAATAACGCTTATGTCACCAACTTTGTTTACCAGAGGGGCGGGGAACAGGCCTTCGTGCTGGCGACCTGCATCATGCGGTTTGCTCTGTTGATGGGGACAGCCACCTCCGAACAACCACCTCTTGCTCGGGACTTCGGGTGGGGACAACCGCGGAAGGGGGAGGCATTCACCCCTTCTGGGTGCCTCCCGAGAGCCTCACTGTGCCAGTGACACGACGGCAAACTGGCACGTGGCAGATGCCGGAGGCGGAGGGTTTGGAAACCTTGCTGGGAAACACTCACCCGGGGAGCTCCTTCCTAGAATTTCTAAAAGCACATGTGGAGGGACCGAGGCCCTCTGGCCGAGCCCAGGAGAATTTGAGCACTCGCCCCGGCGGCGGAAACGCCGCCTGGGAGTGGAGAGGCGGCTGAGCCACATTCCAGCCGCGCCTCCCCCCTGGGCCCCAGCCCCGCGGCGCCCCAGGAAGCGCCTCCGAAAACAAAGCTCTGCGGTTTCAGCCCAAGGTTAAAGTCCACCGTGAGCATTTTCTTCCCCCAGAATCCAAGAGCGATTGTGTTTCTCCAAATAAACCACCAATAAATCAGCACTGGGGCCGCCTGCTGAGGAGCTCTGCTGACCTTGGGGAATGGATTTCCTGCTAGACCCGTCAAGAGGACAGGCGTGGGGAGAGGGACACCATGCCAGCCGTGCCCCCTCCAGAGAGAAGCGGAAGAGGCACTGGCCAAGGGCATTCATGGGGGTTTAGGTGGTACTGGTGTGCCCGGAGGGGACGGGGCGGCAGTGCCGGCTTGTGGGGATGTTACCGTGGGAGGTGGTCGCTCTGGGGGACGCTGACTGCGTGTTCACTGAGCGCCCAGGGTCCCCGCCCTGTTCTAGGCGCTGGGAAAGAGACATGAGGGACAGAAAAGGCCTCTTTGGGGGCCTTCTTTGTCCGGGTGTGCCTGGGTGTGTTCCCAGCCAGTCTGTGCGGTGTGACTAATGGGATTTATGTATGTCAGCACCAGGGTGACTAATGGAGGGCCCGGCAGCACGTGTGTTTGGGGAGGGGTGTGCCTGCCGGGGGGGGGGGCTCCCCGGTCCCCTCCTCGAGGTCCCCGTCTCCTGCCGCTGGTTCGCAGCTTTGTTTGGGCCTCTGAACCCCTGCGTCGGAGGCCTGTGCACGCTGAGAGTTCTGCAGCAAATTCCTCCGCCAGCCTGGCCCCCAGAGGCGCCTCCATCCCTTCCCACTGGCCTGACCCACGTGGCCCCGGCAAATTCAGCCCGTTCCACCGCCTTCCACAGCAGAACCCTCCGGCTTCCTCTCTTTCGGTCTGAAAATTCCTTCTGATGCAAACCCCTGCTTCGCGCAGGCTTGGACAGCCCTCTGACATGGGTATTGTCACGCCCATTTAACAGGCCAGAAACCAGAGGTTCAAAAAGAGAAGCAACAGGCCCACACAGCTAAGACGTGGCGGGCTTCCTCAGCTAAGCCAGGCAGGGTGCTGGGGATACGAATGTGGAGCCCCTGCATCCCTGGGAGCCCCCATCCTAAGACTAGCTTAGAGAAGGTAAACGGCCAACTGCACTAACCCAGCCTGCCATCCCCTTTCCTGTCCTACCCCATCCATCCTCTCCACCTTCTCCTGGGGCTTCTCTCCTGCCCTCGCCTGGGGGGGAGGCAACAGAGGTCAGAGGTTAATGGGAGCCCATTTGGCCTGGGCCTAGTAAGGGCAGGGCGAGGTCAGGCTGACCCAGGGAGCCTGGCCCACACTTCCAGCTGGGAGGGGGCTGTGCTCGGGAGTTCAGGGGGCCGGGGCTCCCAGTTCTGGGCTCAGCACGCACCCGGAGAATCCCATCTCCCCTCCTGCTCTGGGTCTCCCGGTTTCTGACACACACACCCCAGTCTCTGGGCATTCCTCTGGGTGTCTGCTCCTTGCATATGTGTTCTGTCCCACACATCTGTGCCCCTGTTAGAGACACACTCGTCAAAAGGGTCCGTGTGAGCCACAGAAGTGGGGGGACTTCCCAAAGTCACCGAGCCTGGGTGGCAACAAGCAAGCCAGCCAGGTTTTGGCTCAGCTCTGCACCTCCCGTGCTCCCCGCCAGTGCTCTGTGGCCCGTGGTGGCATCTCCAGCGAAGGGGCAGCAGGGCCTAACCCTTCTTCCGAGGTCTCCCAGGAGTCTCCCATCCCCACAGTCTCCCAGGATCTCTCTCTCTCACACATACAGACACACACATACACACACACACACGCATGCACGCACGCTCACACAGCGCTAATCTCTTCACCCCCCTCCCTCTTTTTTTTTTTTTAATCCTTCTTTGCCATTTTCTTTCAAACAGAAAATAAAAATATTTCCCATGGCTGCAGCTTTGAAAGCTTCCCTTGCCTTCCTGCCTCTCTCCCTCACCCCCACCCCCATGTCAGTCCATTTCCAGAGTCAGCAGAAAGTCAGAAACAAACCCAAAAAGATCAAACCCGACAGGCCCCCCTTCCCGCGCCCCTCCACTTTCTCTGCATGTCTCCGGCTGTCTCCACCCTGGAAAGGAGCGGGAGGTGGGCCCCCCACTATACATGCACACATGCACTTGCATACTTTCTGTGCCCACAGGGAGTCTCTTAAGAACCTTCTAGAACCACCCTGCCAGAAAGTCCTGCTTACATGGTTCCTTCTGCTGGAAATACGTGGGTTCTTCCCCACCCTCCCCTGTCCAGCCCAGCTCACCTGGCCCAGCTCCCCTGGACCTTCCTCTGGGAGGCCATCTGTTGTGCGTTGAATACCCCCCAAAATTCAGATGTTCAAGTCCTGACCCCCAATACCTCAAAGTGTAATGGTATTTGGAAATAGGGTCGCTGTAACTGTAGTTGTGATGAGGTCATATTGGAATACGGTGGGCCCCAATCCAATATGACTTGTGTCCTTATAAAAACAGGAGACAGACAGAGGCAGAGGCCTGGAGCACATCCTCCCTCACAGCCCTCAGAAGAAACCAGCACTGCCCGCACCTTGATCTTGGGTTTCCAACCTTCAGAGCTGAGAGAGAATACATTTCTGTTGTTTAAGCCACCCAGTCTGTGACCTTTTGTTGTACCAGCCTTAGCAAACTAATACACCATCCTAATTTTTTTTTTTTCGTTTTTTGGCCGAGTCACATGGCTTGTAGGATCTTGGTTCCCCAACCAGGGGTCAAACCCACGCCCTCGGCAGTGAAAGCACACAGTCCTAGCCACTGGACCGCCAGGGAATTCCCATACCATCCCAGATTTAAGTGCCCACAAGAGTCAGGCAGGAAACGCAGATGAGCAGAAGTGGGACAGCATCCAGAGGGGATGACTGGTCATATCCTAGACGGCAGTCCCCAGGGGGCTAGATCTGCTGTTGTTCGTGGGAAGCTGGTGCATCAGTCAGAATGCGCTAGGTTATGCTGCAGTGACAAAAATCCCCATCTCAGTGGCTTATCACAACACATAAAATGTATTCTCCCTGACACATTGTCTGCTCTGAGCCTGGGCAACCCTCCAGGGCAGCTGAACTCCATGTGGTGACTCAGCACCCCAGGCCACTTAAATTTCCTGAGTTGACCACCTCAGTGTGAGGCCATCACAGGGAAGAGAGGATCATTGCACAGAGGACTTTCACTGCCAGAGCATTTATCATTCCTTATATTTATCCACTTATGTTTAACAAATACTCACTGGTCAGGCTCTGTGCTAGGCCCTGACGATAAGCTGGTAAACACAGTGGACCAGAGTCCTGTCTTCGTGGAGCTTACAGTCCAGTGAGAGGGACAGCTGGTTAACAAAGAACTGTTAAGGGTGGTGAGCACTGCCAAGGAGAAGGCCCAGGAGCAGTGGGAAGAGCCAGACCATGCAGGGCCTCAACCTAAAGCAAGAAAGATGTTTTCAGTGGGTCCCACAACTAGGAAGCCCAGAAGTATAACACCTTCAGGTATGGATGGATCAAGGACACACACTGCCCCCTCCCTCTCAATTATAATTCCCTCTCCATTGGACCCATTCTCTCCTACAAACACCCATTTTCTCTATGTGGTAGGATATGGCCAACCTCACATCTGCAGCAAGAAAGAGGCAATGCCCCAGGAGTCTGTGGGGAGAGATGGTAATGCTGGACAGAAAACAGACTGCCGATGAGCTGTCTACCCATCACACTCTTCTCTAAGGGCAAGATCTAATCAGACCTGAGGAATGA